CCACTTAAAGTTCTTATTTGATTAGTGTAAATTTGTGGACACCCTGTATACCATGGTAAGTTTATTATCATTGAGATATAAAATATTATATCTTGTTACACTTCACTATAAATTACGCTAACATAACTTTCATACTTCTAAAGTATTTGACACATGAAAATTAGATTAGATTTTGATTAAATTTGTATTATTTAAAAAACCTTATGATTTAGGTGTTATAAACTTAAAACAGACACTTATTTTGTTCAGCGAATCGTAAAACGCAATAATATACAGGACATTCCATTTAAAAAAACGCAACTTTGATACCTTTAGAGCTTTTGGGACAGCCTGTATATTACGAAAACATTTTAAAAATGTGCGCTCGGTAGGCGTCAGACAATTCATAAAATAATACTTTTTAAAAATCAAACGGTTTAGCCGCAAACTTCCGTGCCGTATAGTGTGAATAACCCTGTATATGATCTAAACGTGTTTTTAACAAGAAAAATGTAAACTTTAAGTCTGAATCCACTCCTATGCATCTTATGTTTTTCAACATAAAATAAGGATTAGTTAATTATTGATCAAACAAATTTCAAGCAACATTTCTCAGCACTGTGCACTGTGGCATCCAAACTGCACATTTTGGTAATTTTAAAGGCTTTGAATGAAATCATTTTGTGAACCGTCCACTATTCGTTTATCGTGCATATCAATTTATTTAAAACAACATTGCAAGTGTGGATGTTGTCTAACACCTGCATTTTATCTAGTAAAACGTGCTCATCAAAACAACTTTCGCTGCTTACTATGCAAAACCACTTATACCGTGGCAAAGATGCACAGTTAAGTTGTCTGCCTAAAAAACTGTACAAGTTTTCCGATGATTTTGTTGATTATTGTCATCAAGCAATTTGATACTGCAAATTTGAAGAACCTTCATTGGGTCGAACATTTCACGTTCATTGAGCTCACACAAGTGTTCTGGGAACTACACAATGCTCAAGCAGAGATTAGTCTACTGATCTCTGGCTCAAGTAAGGTTCAAATTAACAGTCGCAAAATTAGCAAAACAAGCGGCAAATACATTGTCAATCAAACCGATTATTATTGGAATTGAAAATGCTTAGTCATTTCTAGATGGTTTAAATGCCAATCGCGATAACTGGAGGATATGGAAAAAATGAATCCCCACTTTTGATCGTTTTTATTTGTTGCAAAAAACCCGAATTGTTAATAGATTTTTGTTTTGGATTGGATTCTTTATCTTGAATATGAATTATGACTCGCACAAACTTACATATTTTGAGCCATTTAAACCAGCAAAAAGTATATAAATATTGGTCCCTGTAGGTTAAATGTTGTTAAAAAATTGCGATAATTCTACTGGCTGTTCCTGATTTAGTTCCCAAGCCTTGAACGTTTTTGCAATACCAGTAAACGGGCAAAATTTAATCTAAACTTATCCATAGCTCAAACTCATGCATCGCAATTGCATTCGAAATCCTTGAACTGCTAACATAGATATTTTTGATTAATATGGGTCAGCGATCATTTATTAATTTAAAGCTCTCATGCGACTCGCACAATTAAACTTCAATCATAATTTGCCATTAATATACGATATTAATAATTTTTCATATCAATTGAGCCTAAATTTAGACAGCTAAAATTAAATTCCTGTTCTTTAATTACGTATACATAAGGTAATTAATTACAGGATCTTTATTTCTGTTTAAGATCCAGAAAAGCAATGCTGTAAGGCAAAAGTAAAAGAATTTATATTTGATGTTTTTTATTTCTCAGTGTACGAGATACGTCTACGTTATTACGAACAAATACAGTACTTTTTCTTCCACAATAAGAATTATTATTACCTTAATATCTTACAGAGTTTGCCGCATAAAATAATTTTAATAACTTACATTTCCTATCTACATACAGGTTTTTTAAACTTTATACATGTGTAACTATATGCAGGAATATCTTTCTTTGTTTATGTTAAGAACATGTGAAGTTCGAAAGTGATGGACCTTTTATCAGTAGTAATTCGGAATTGTTAAGGTAAATTTACTTTTGAAATAAAATATATTGTAACCCAAAACCAATAGCTTAAGAAAGATATTCCATTAGCCATTAATTGGTTTAGTGTGTTAAATTAATAAAATCTTCGTTCTTGTTAATTTCCAAGTATACTTTGTTATGTTACATTGATATTTATATACATGCATATTCTATACACAATCTAATTATATAGGAACTTTGGTTTCTCTTCAGAGAGCTACAGTTTTTGCAAAACGAAAGCCGCCCGTAAGGCAAAGTAAATGTTGCAAAAATTCCACTGGTTAAGCTCTCTGTTATAATACATAAATATACAATGGAAACAAGATGGAAAACATAAGGTAATTTGAGATCAAATTTGTAAACTTAATTTTTACAATTTTTACACTTTTCCACAAATGTTTCGCCTAAAATATTATACTCGTGGTACAAAAATATTTTCGATTTTCGCTTAATTTTGCTTAAAATCTTAACATAATAGACCTTAAATATAGAAATGTATACTTTTTACTTACAGTAGATATGTTAATTTCGAATGACAAGTTTTGAGTAAAGAACCCAAGTTTGCACAATGTAATATCAAATCGTATACACTGTTTCATCATCAGATCGGGAAAAGCCTAAATTATATCAAAGAAAACGCTGTTGATCCACTTTGAACTTATTTCGGGCAAAGACGGTTTTAAATCTTCCCGGTTGCAAATCCGAATTGATGACTAAGCAAAAATTTGCTACTTTCCTTCAATCTAAACCCGAATTAACAGAATACTATGAAATAAGACCTGGACATTTTTAGTTTGATTTAAACACGCTAATTATGTATCTATGTTTCAAGCCTTAAAACAGCTTTAAAATATTTCCCATTGTTGAGTGTTTTCTTCGACTATAACGCAAACCTACTATGAGAAGGTGAATTACACTTTGTATAATTGGCAATCTGATCTGTTTACTAGTCTCGAATCTTACGTAAGTATTTACACTAAACAATTAGCTGGTATACACAAAAATATCCAAAGAATCACAGATAGCCTTATATGATTAGATTTGTCAGTTTTCTTAGACCATTCCTTTGGACATCATTCTTACAGTGTTTTTGAGGGCCTGTCGTTTATTACAGAACCATATCCTTATTACTTCACGTTCGTAGCCGAGTTGGTGTGCCAAACCCGTTATTTCAGTTCCTGTTAAAAAAAGTATTTTAGTATTTTTTTTTGGTTAATAAAGTATTTTTTTCTTACCTGATGGATGAGTGTTTCTTTCAAAGTGCGCGTTTAAAAGCTCCAAAGCTTGTGGAGTAAATGAGGTTCTTCTCTTCCGCTTCTTTGATGGTTCAATTCCTATGAAGTCGGTGAGATGGTTTTGCCCACTTTTGTACCTGGAATAACTTTTCTGGATTATAATTCAGCAATTATTTCATCAAGCAAAAGGAAAAAGCGACAAAATGAGTCGGTTCTTCGCTATAAAGAAAGTGGAATTATTTGGGATATTTTTTGTAAAAGATGAAAATTTTGTTAAGTTAATTTATTTTATGTTACACGCAAAGTTAACTGTATTTAATCTGATCAGTTCCTTTGATTGAAAACCAAGATGCAAATAGCTTTCAGTTTCTAACAAATATAGAAAATACATAACATTTTTCATATAACCGCTAGTAAAATAGATCAAGATTAAAATAAGGGAGTAAATTGAAAATAATTTTGTGAAAAATAAAAATCAATAAACATAGTAATATTAAAATGAAGGTATGTTGAATATGTGAGAGAAGATAAATTTCCATTGGAAACGTTTGAGAATGATAAAAAATAAAATAGGATAATGAATAAAAGGCAGAAAATAAAACAATAATCTTATGTTATAGATCCAACTGTAATAAATCCTGTATTTTTTTTGCGGAAAAACCACGTCTTTATTTGGCTTGAGAAACTTTTAATCCACTTGTTCTTGTTTAAGGTTTTTATTTATTATTAATACCTTTCTTCTGCTTCCTTCATCCATCTTTCTAATACTGGTTTAATTTTCTGCGCGCTTTTCGGTGTAATGTCCAATTTCTCGAACCTAATAAAACATTACAATCAATACGTTTCGATTATCGCTAAATCCGCTAAAAGTTAGATTATTTGAAGATTTGTTTCAAAGTATCCATTATAAAAAAAACATTGAATTCAAGAAATATGTGGGCATATTAGACATACATACATGATGCGAATTTGGTTAAATGAAGACAAAGTTACGGAAGTAATGCTAGAAAATGTCGCTTTAAAAACCGATTTTCGTTTCTTACTTTTTCGGTAGTTTTGGCAAGTTTTAGATTCGTTCAGACAAAGCAGTTAGGAAAATGTTCGTTTTTTTGGAATATTTTTCAATTTACAGAAAAAATTATCTATATATTAAATTATTTTGTTTGCAAGAACATTTAAAGGAGCGCTAGTTACAGTCAATAAAAATGATCTGTAAACGCATTAAAAAAGTTACTATTTTTTTTAAGAAGAAGAAAAGAAGAAGCCGAAACGATAATTGTATTTAAAAAATATTTATGTTATATACAGGATGTCCCATGACATAATGTCACTACTTAGTAAATATTCTTTTCAGATCAACCGTTTTCGTAATTATGAGTATTAGATATAATGGTAACGGTTCCGCCAAAACTCATTTTTTCTTATTCCAAAAATTATTTGTCCGCTTAGGCCGTGAAAAATCCCTTTTATTTTCCAATTAATTGAGAAAAAAAATATTTAAAAGAATTTAATGTAATTTTATTCGTATTTTATTTATTTCTGAACTTCACCTTCATTTAACCAAAATCGAATCTTTTACTGCCTCCGATATTCCCCCATCTTGGACGTACGAACTGAGTTCTCTATAATGTGATCTATGTGAAAATACATAAATAAACAATAAATCCTGCTTTTTACTGAACATGAAATATTTGGCACAGGACACTAGCATACTGTAACAAATGCTATTAAAATTACTCTATATTAGAAAATATATGCCAGTGCCCTGGCGCGAATATTACACGAAGACTACATTCTAAATGGAGGAGCTAAAAATCTAAAGATATAAGAAGAAGTTAATAGAAAACATCCGAGAAAATTACAAGACGCGTGTGGTAAAACAAGGATAATAAAGCCGTAGGAATGATTTTCTCGGACATTTTTCAAAAAATTATTTAAATTATTTGAACAGACGTACATTGCTTGCTGTTGGGCAGCTGCAACCATCTGGGACGCCAGGGCACTGGGAACAAAGAGGTAAATTAAGTATGGTGTCTTTTGTCAAAGATTATTTAACATGTTTAAGCCCTTTATCGATGTTGGAGTTGATTGAACGGACTTTTTAAGAACCGATTTGCTTTTTTTAAATAAAGACATGTTTTTAATTAATATTCTTTACTGTTAAAGTTTGAACAACGTGTATTCTCACCTACAAATGGCACTTTGACTATAGGCAGGTCCTTCAGTGACACTTAGGGCTTGCCCCACTTGAGTCTGTGTAAGCCCCAAGGATAATCGTCGAAGTTTGAACGCTTTGGCAAAGTCTTTGATTTCATCCAAATTGATGCCGTCCACTACGTTACTATTCGTTTGATTGATCGTCGGTTGATCTGCAAAGATACGGACTTGTGTTAAGGGCAGGTAATTACGACAATAAATATCCGCATTTTATCGACAAAGAATGGTGCTAAAATGACACTCGTCATTTAGTTAATCGCATCTAAATTGAACCATATGAACGTTACTTTATCATTAAATAACCATTCGGATGGTCATTTTCGCGACGGGTTGAATTATTATGGCAAAATACAGGGTGGTTCAGTTTACACAACAGCAACCAACAGGGTTTGCTTTATGATCTTTGTGAGATACAGTAGGTATATACAGGTTTGGTATAACCATCACTAAACGGCCGAAAGTTTTTCAACGAAACTTGCATGAAATCGCTTTCAAAGAAGAACATTTTGCAGTGCAAACAGTTTTTTGTAAAAATTGACACTGCTTATTTTTCATAAAACATAAATCACTTTTAGGTTTTTGGTTCAATTTGGATGAAAAAGCTCTTTCGATTTGTCTGTTCAACACACGGTTCTCGAGCAAACAATTTAAAAATTCCGATTTTCCAACTAGACTAGATTTCGAAACTGGATCACTTTCCATATAGAAATGTCTGGAGAATCAGATGCCACATTAACACATCAATATTTTCTTTTCTGGTGCGAAAAATTTGACCAAAAAAGTAGTTTTGCATCGTTTTGGTCGTGGTTTTTGAACCCCCAACTTGATTCTATCGAAAATATTTTTCGCATCTTCCCGGCATTTATTATGCAATTTATTTTTGACTGAAATGGTCTTGATAAAAATATAGCTCGGAGTAAAACTGATTTTTTTTTCTGAAATGAATCGACTTTGGAACGACTATACCAGTCCATATGAACACCAATCCTTATATTCATTCTCAACTTGAGTTTATTTATTTTCTATTAAAAAAATGACTGTGTATTTATCGGTTAGTCCTAATCGTTGCTGTTTTCGCCTGCCACAAGACAGGTAAAAAACCTTTACGGAAATCGACTATAATTAAAATTTTAGACCTTTTGGCATTGTTCCTTTTTCAATATTTTTCTGTTCTACACCACTGCTTTTGCACCAAAAAAGCAAATACATTTTTGCTTCCGCCGAAAAATATAGATACTTATTTTGTACGAAAAAACTCACATTAATGGACAATGAAAAGTGCAAGGAAACCAAAACAGGTTTTGCTTAAGCGTTTTTTATCAGATTAATAAAACGTTTGAGTTAATTAAAGTTGTCGTTTCGTTTTATTCTAATTCTTTCAAAACTCCCACTCATTCGCTCCAGTAAACACGCGATTAGATTGTGCTTTAACAGGAACTAAAATTGTTAGTTTACTTTTTTTAGAATAGTTTGAAATGTTTAAAAAAATCAGCAACCCTCAATGACATACCACGCTTTTCTTTTGCACATTTGGCAAAAACTAACAGACATTCTGCTTTTAAGGACTGTATTTCAAACGAGGATTTCAATTAAAAATCACAAACACTTGTATAAAACTCAACTAGAATTTTCATCCGCAAAAATCAGGAATGTATAAATTCCCTAAAGAATTGCATTTAGAATTGTAAAATTACTCCTTGTGCGAAATACTAGATAGAAACACGAAATTTGCATTTTTTAATCAAACACAAAACACTTCATATCTGCGCTTGGAGCAGGTAGGTGGCTTTCCAGGTTAAAAGAGCCGAACCTCTCCCACCACCCTGCATGTTTGCCTATTTGCAGAAATTACTAGAATCCACAGCCTACTAGGTACTTACTAGGTGAATCTATCAGCAAATCGGCTGTTGAACTGTCATTACAGTCTGGACTGAGCGAACTAGGGCTTCTTTTCACACTTTGTACATTTGGCGCTCCCAAACCGGTATGCACACTAATATCCGAAGCACTACTTCTGCCACCACCGTTCATTCCAGGCGAAGAACAATTCCTGGACAAAGTCTGCGGCTGGTAGCAAGACTTTGAGTCCACATAGTGTCCATTTCCCATCGACATTCTGGAGGGCGGGGTTTGCGATGTGGGGGGCGTGCCTTGGCTTAACAAAGGCGGCGCTTGCGCGTACATCGGGTTCGACTGGCTGACGTAGGGCGTGGTTTGGCTCAAATGGGGCGCGGCCTGATTAAGTAGCGGCTGCGCTAGGGAATTGAGCAAGGGCGTGGCCTGTGGTGGCGCATGCTGATTGGAGATCATTTGAGGCAGCGACTGCAACAATTGTTGAGCGGAATTGGTCGTTGAGAGTAGGTGGGTGAGGGAGGTTGGATTCAGCAGCGACTGCTGACCAACTGGAGAACCGTTCGTGGTGGGCGCTGCAAAAAAACATTCATTTTGTTGGAACATGAATGACAAAAGTTGAAAATCCCTACCTTGGAGTGGAGGATTGTTAGCCAGCAAACTACTTTGCGCAGCCATGGCTTGCAAGTTTGCTAAAGAGGTTTGCATCACTTGCCCGTTGTTCAGGGCTAAATTCACCATCTGGTCGGTGCTATTTACATGGTTTACCGGTATGGTCAGTATGGTCTGAGTTGCTAATCCTATAGCAGGAATTAGTTGAGTTAGACGGGATTTATTTCGCACGAACTAGATGTATTTCGGAAAGTTGCTCGGATTTTTTAGGTTTATTACGTAGTTTTTTAGCCAAGGTACACATGGTGAGCCACAAGAAAAGTCAGTTTTTTAAGTGAAGAATGTTGAACCACTGTTGAAACCAAAGTATTGCAAACAAAAATCAAATTAAATATTAAAAGTGTCGTCCATTGTTTTTGCAACCTTCAAGTTTAGAGGGACATTATTATAAGTATATAATTGTTGTTATACATAATAACTCATTCTATTAAATTTTTAATGTTTCCATTTTCGATACCGTTGTTGTTTTGAATAATGAAAGGTCGGGTGAATTTTGAGGCCAGCCTATTAATGAGGTCTTGTCTCAATAGACAGAAAACAGATTTTCTTTAAAAAACTGACTTTCATGTTCAATTCGTATACATGCATAACTAAAAATAGAAAGTGAACAATCCGAGCAACAACAAAAGATTTCAATAAATTTCCTGCTTACTGGGAAAAAAATCCAATTAAATGATAAAATTG